GGCTAGCTGTGAACAGGAAATGCAGTTTATAAATAGCTCTCAGTTCTTGCTCGGAGCAAAGACAGGCCTCCGGGTTAGCTGCAGCTATTGCGGGCAGTTTGTCCACGACCGCTCCCGTGAATATTCAGTTCAACTTTCAAACACGACATACAATAGAAGGAAGGTTTGTATTGGGGATCCCTCCTCTGTTGCTCTCCCTGAGGTTTCTCCCATTTTCCCCTTAAACTGTGGGTTTTCTCCAGAAGTTTTTCCTTGTACGATGTGAGGGTCTAAGGACAGAGGGTCTAAGGACAGAGGGTGTCGTTTTTCTCATACTGATATTCTGAACAATCTGTGCTGTTGTATTTGCTGTAAAGTGTCTCTACTGTAGGCTATTTTTATTATATGTACAGCACTTTGGCTCGACCAAAAATCGTTTATAAATGTGCTATATAAATAAAACTTGATTTGATTTGATTTACCCAAATCTAAATCAAATATGGGACAGAAAACAGTCATGTACAGAGCCATGGTCAGCTGGAACTCTTTACCGGTTCACATCATTCAGGAACATTCTCAAGTACATTTCAAAAGGTCGCTAACAAATTATTTATGTATTATAAAGTACATTTGAACTGTGGCTATGTATGCATATATTATTATGTACACTTATTTGTATTTACTTTTGTTTGGCCTTAGGATGGTGATAATTGGATGACCATTTTAGTTTTCACTTCATACAGCACTGTGTATTGCATGAAATTATGAGCTGTTTTCATTTTGTTGTATGTTTGTGTGTTTTGTGTGTGAGGACCCCAGGAAGAATAGCTAATGCTCATGCTAGTGCTAATGGGGATCCTAATAAAGACAAACTCAAACTAACTCTAATATAGATTTATTTGAAATATATTTAAGTGTCACAGAGCTGACGCTGTAGGGCTTTGGACTCCTCGTTGAGAGAGGAAGTGAGTGAGACACTTCTGCTAACCTTTTCTTCCATTAAGAGACGATTAGGTTATTTTCAGCAAATTCCTTGTAATTTGCTGAATGATTGCTTTTCGTATCACTAAAAATAGGTGGGAATCTTTCAGTTGTATTGCCTCTGGTGAACATTCAGACATTTCTTTTATACTATTTCCCAGAAGCTGCACAAAACATAACAAGACCAAAACATATGATCATGGTTGGCCTTCTGCTCGCTGCATTCCCGCCAGCATTATGAAGGGACATTTTTCATATTTACTTAGAATTTGGGGTGTCTTGAAGCAAGAAAAGAACATCTTCCATGTGTTTTCTTCCCAGTAGTTTGAATTGTTTGTGTTGTGATTATTTTTGAAAATGTGTTCCCAATCTGCTATTGGTATATTGCAGGAGAGTTCATTTTCCTATTTAGTTTTACATTGATAACACTAAGTTCATCATCAATGAAGCACTCTCTATCTCATGCTTGATACTGTATTTTTTCCAATACCTGGAACACGGTTTGTTATTTCAATGGATTAATGCCAAGGGGCGTTTTAAGGGATATAACATACAAGAGATAGGAAGCAAGACATGTACTGTTCTCGCCTGGATTGGACTTTGTGACGTCTCGGTCACATCTGCTTGTAATCCTATCATTCCTTTATGAGAGAAAATCCCCTTCCTCCTCCTCCTCCTCCTCCTCCTCCTCCTCCTCCTCCTCCTCCTCCTCCGCCGCACCAGGTGGATCTCTGAGTGAAACAACTGCAGCCACAGCCTCTCTGTCTAAGCCTTCTGCATGTCTAAGGGTGACTTGTAAATGTAAAAATATGTTCTGTTACATATAGCTGTACAAAAAACCTAACCTAATCTGAGTATCAAAATATAAAAGTAATGTAACCTCTCTGCTACGTTTGGATTACCTCAATATCATCTACAACTAGGGTTGGGAACCGAAACTCGGTTCCAGATGAGAACCGATAAGAAAATGCCGGGTACCGGGTACCCATACAAAATACACAATTTCGGTTCTGCTTAACGGTTCCTAAACGCGGTAGACCCTGTATTCCAGCGGGTCCGTCTGCACCGCGGTGCTGCGGTGACCCGGTGGAATACAGGGCGGACCTGGAGAATCACAGAACGGCCGGTCGTCAGCGGGCCGTTGACGGCCGGCTCGGTACGCTGACGGCCGGCACCGCCCTTAATTTTTTTAAACGGCATCATATAAATTGCGCTGACAGGCGACAGAGGTCCACAGTTGCCCCGCAGCGATGCTCCCCCGCCCTCCCGTAGACATTTCACGAGCTCAGTCACTTCATAACACCAAAGATAGGTCGCGGTAAACACTCTGAAGTGAGGCTCCACTACACTAAAAAAGAAAAAGAAAAGGCAAAGTGTAATGCCTGTTAATAGCTTGCCACAGGCATAGCTCAGTTAAAATAAAGCACAGCTATTGTGCAATATATTTGTATTGCATGTATATTTTTTAGTAACAATTTCAGTTAAAGCTTTTAAGAATAAATATATTTTTGTTATCTAAACGTTTGACCTCTTTATTTTACAATTTTGGAATCGAAACGGGGAATCGATAAGAACCGGAATCGATAAGCAGAACCGGAATCGAAATCGGAATCGATAAATTTCAAACGATACCCATCCCTATCTACAACGCAAATTAATACAAGAGAAACAAATACATTGCAATACTGAAGTGTTTGATGTAAGACAACAGTAATACCAGAGGTGGGAGAAGTACTCAGATCTTGTACTTGAGTAGGAATACTCTGTTACAAGTAAAAGTCCTGCACTCAAAATGTTGCTCAAGTAAACGCTCAAAAGTATTGAAACACATGACCACATGCTACAGTTTAAGAAAGCAGAAATATAATCTGAGCTGACACAAAATGCTCCGTCACACACAGTATTTTATGAACATATGTTTTTTTTTATTTTTAAATGTTCTGTATTATAAACACAGTAGATTCAAGATTCAAGGCTTTTATTGTCATGTGTGCACACTGTAGCTACAGTGTAGTTATGACAATCTTAGGTCACAGGCTCCTCCAACAGTGCAACACAATAAAACAGATAATAGTGCAAGTAAATAAAATATAATATAATAGAAATTGTGCAGAATAGTCTAAGTAATTGGAATATTGATATATATATATAAGTATACGTTACAACAAGATGAATGTTATGGATGTTCTTTCAAAAGGCACAACATGGAAACCTTGAAATGATTATAATATGACATATACTATGTCCTATTGAAAGCAGTTTCTTTGGCGAGTTAAGGTTGAAGGCCATGTTAGCGCCCTAAAGGATGCTTGAGGTAGTTATGGTGAAGCTCTGTGTGACATCTGTCACGTCTCTGCAGCCTCGGCGCTCACACACTGCTCGCTGCGCTCTGTCAGGGCGCGCTGGCCCCCAGGGTTCAGGGACGTTGCCGTATCTAGGACCCTCTCACTGGGACACATTTATAAATAGATAATCGAATTTGTACGCTAGAGTGGCGCGATGAACTCTGTCAATGTCGGCGCACACAGAAATGCTGCAACACGTCTATACCAAGCTGTGAATGACACACAGAACACTTCCTGCGTGCTCATTCTACTTCAATATAAACTGTAGATGTGTCATCAAATGGCCTTTCAGAGCAGTGGCAATAAGAGATGATACTGTTTGTATTCATCACAAATCATTGTGAAGGTTTTGTTCAACACACAATCTAAAGGATGTTGGATTGCATGACAGTTGAGTAATTTAGTTACAACTAATTTCCTGTTGCTCAATAATGATATGAGCTATTTACCAGAAAAGCAGACATCTCTCTCTGAAGTATCTTGTCCATAATCCAATCTTTTGGCTTTTAAAAAGACATCGACAAAAAGATCAATCTTAAGCAAGTTTCCACTGGTCCACAGAGCCAACACGCACCAAGGGGTTGTTGCTGTTATTCAGGGACATCTACTTTGCATTAGAGAAGCTTTCAAATGAATGGACACCTCACTGTTCCTAAAAAACCTTACCAAAACTAATCACAGATATAAACACATTTCCTATATTAAAGAGGACATTTTCAGGTTCATATTTGTATTTTGCACTGTGACATGTCTCCATGCTTTAATGTTCAAAACGCTCTGAGGGTGGAGAGTGTGTGGGAGAGAAACTCTGGGAACTTGTAGCCTTTACAGATCCTTTACATGCACACAAACCTATATAACACACTACAGGAAAGGGAAAAGCCCCAAAAAGCACAATAGGTCCTCTTTGAGTAGAAAGTTTGAGCTACTGTGTGCCATGTTTTTAAAGACATATCTCTTGGAGAGCCAGTGTTAAATGAAGTCACATCTGGATACTCTGTCAGTCTCTTGAAGCCCACTAAAGCTGCTGGAATCACTGAATCCCTTCAGAGGCGGCCCGCAATACCAGAGCTTTTATAAAAAGACGCTAATTAGATTCTGAGCACTCGCGAGTAATCATCAACTCTCTTGTTTCAGAAATGTTTTATGAGAGCTGGAAGAGAACTCTCTGCTCCATAGTTTCTCTTGAAATAAAACCACGTTGTACTTTTTACACATATATAATCGTTTATATTTAATATTCCATATGTCATATATCTTTGAATATATATATTTGTATATATAATATCTACATGTATATTTTCTATTTTATTTTATTTCTATTCTTGTTTATTTGTAGTTTTGTTTTATTGTAAAATGCCTTGTCTTTTATGCTGCTGCAACAAAAACAATTTCCCAAATTGGGATCAATAAAGTACCATCTTATCGTATCTTATAAAATGACACAGATACATCCTGATGTAGCACATGTGTTTAATTATTAAACATGTTCTTACTGATGTTTGGGAGGGTCTTTATACTGTGACATTTGAAATCTTTTTTTTAACAGGAATACGTTATTAGGGTTGTTTCACTGCTCTCTTGAGTTGTTCGATTTCTGTTCATTGATCATGTGGAAGCACATCTCCAACTAATAAACACGGCCGGAAGAGAAGCTATTGATTGACTGACTTTGATCTCATTTTCTCTTTGCAGATTGAAAGCTCTGGTTTCCACAGGAGGGAAAAACGTGCAGGCAGCTTGTGACTGGTGAGAGCAACACACACCGTCCCACACGGTTATTAATGCACACACACACCCTCTTGTAATTGTAAATATAACATGAACTGACCTCACCCCTTAACATCGTCACTAACAGTGCTGCCCTCTGCTGGACGTCGGCTGCCCCTCTCTCCCCATTATTTTTCACTTCTTAGTTTTTTTATCCAGGAGAACCTTCTTTATTCGTAAATAGATGAACATATTTAGATAGAAAATGACATAACCAATGATTATATACTGTCCTCACTTCAATGTGCTTCCCCTTGCCACTAAACTGAAAACATATCTTCCAAAAATGCTTTCATCTCAACATTTCTCCAGTATTTTTTGAATTTTTAATGACATGGTGCTTTATAAAGAGGGGAAGTCCCGCCCATCTACTTCCGACCCATGGGACCTTATTTCGGAAAAAGTATGTATTGAAGTCAATGGAGAGAGAAAACGTATCTTTCGATCCCGTTTGAATTGTGCCACGAATTACACATATGATGTTTGTCAATCTTAAAAAATAATTTCCATATTAAAAAAAGTCACAGTTTGTCGTAAAACTGTTGAAATATAAGACTATGAAGAATACGCAACTAAAGACTACAAATCCCAGAGTCCCGGTCCCGCATGCTGGCTCTTAGGAACCGACTAACTCCCCTTGTGTGTGTGTACAGCTCTCAACATGCCCAGACTTGGAGTGATTTTCACCTCTTTTAATACTTTCCGCCTCATTCTGAAAGAAAGAAGTGAAATGTTTCAACGTGACGGCCGTCTTGGTGTGTGGTGCGAGACGAGAGATGTAGTTCATTGAGCGGTTTCACACAAAAAAAGTGTTACTTCACAGTTTTACCACACATTATTATTTTTTTGACTCGCAAAATTATCTTTTTGACATCATATGTGTAATTCGTGACACAATTCAAACGGGATCGAAAAATAATCTTTCTCTTTCCATTGACTTCAATACATAATTGTTCCGAAATAAGGTCCCATGGAGGTCCCCCGGAAAGGGAGGGACTTCGCCTCTATAGAAAGTCACTAACAATTGTGCAATATTAGAAAAAGCCCCACAGTTTGCTAAGCTCATTTATTCCTTATTTATTTAATTTTTTTTTTTTTTTAAACACAAACATGTAGGCCTTTTTCTGATGTTTTTGAATCTGTTGTTTAAAAAGGAAAAAAGTCTAAGTGTATATAGATTTATATATTATTAGATTAAAGGAAAGCACACGATATAAAAAACATATATAAATGAGAAACAATATGTACACTATGGTAAGAAAATAAGCAGGTAGCAGGTAAGTGAATATATAAAGTATTAAAGGAGCCTTTCATGTTAACAGATTGCAAAAAAATAAATTGTTTAGTAAGAAAATGTGTTGTTGTGCGATTTTTGTTGTTGTTTTTTTAATAAAAATAAGTATTCTTGCTCAGCAGTGATGGTACAGTCTGTATTTGTGTTAGTAACTCACTGTCTTCCTGTCCTTGCTCCAGGCTCTTCTCCCATGTAGACGACCCCTTCCTGGACGACCCTCTGCCCAGAGAGTATGTGTTGTATATGCGCCCCAGCGGAGTCCTCCTCCAGCAGCTGTCTCACTTCTGGCAGCAGTCCCCGCGTCTCCTGTGGAAAGAACAAGGCCCACAACATCTTCCCCCACATCACCCTCTGCCAGTTCTTCATGGTCAGTGTCTCTCAGTGCTCACGTTATAGGTTTTTTACAACATAAATAGGACATACATGGAGATACTAACACAACTGCACCTGTTGTACATCAGGGTTAATCATTCATGCCCTCATTGGACACTAAAAGGACATACCATTTCTTGATGCTATCGATTTTCATATTGTGCAAACATTAAAAAATAGTTTTTTGTATTTTTCTTTGTTTTTTTGTTGTTTTATTCTCTGTCAAAGCGTCTTTGAGTTTTTAGTAATGCGCTATATAAGTGTTGTGGGGGAAACTTCTGTGTAGCAATGCAGGAGGACTCAAAGGAGACACGGGGAGAGCTGGAGCTTTGATGGCAAACACTGATGGGTGTATTTGGAGCTTCGGCCGGAGAATTCACAAAACAAGTCACACAGTCAGAGGTTCTGACTTCACGGTAGAGTTGCCACGTCAATTCTGAAGAACTCTACCCCAGATGTATTTAGCTAGTTCAGAGAGAATCATCAACATGCTGCATAACAAGATAGAATCATAACCCCTCTATCAGCTGACGCCAACAGGCAGGAACAGGGAGACAAAACACTGAGAGCACAGCAGCCAAGGTTACAGGTGCGTGTGCTCAGTCAGGACAGTTTGAACTGATAAACTGGGTAAAGTTATGGGCCTTGGAAAATATTTCCCAACAAGTGTCCTGTATTATTATTATCAACATATTACAGACATTATCACTCCCCCTCATCATCAAAATGATCACACAATACCTGAACCATTATGAGAGTAAGAACCAGTGCTTTACCATCTAAATGAAACAAGTACAAGTGCAGTGAATACAAATAAATGAAAAAGTAATAAATAAGTAAATAATGAGGTACTTCTAGAGTTCTAATTTTTCTTCGAATGTATCAGTTTGCAGCTGTAGTCTTGCTGTGATTTTCTCCATTAAATGAACATGTTTTACTCCAATGGAGCCGTTATAGGTTTTTAAATCCCTTATACTTTATTTTATTTAATAAAGTATTTAATGTTTATTTTATTATCTTTTCTTTTTAATGACTGATTTTAAATGCCATTTTCTTAATGTCTTTCGTTTTTTGTAAAGCACTTTGAATTGCCTTGTGTTGAAAGGTGCTATATAAATAAACTTGCCTTATACATCTACAAGTTGTACAATAGCTGCCCATTGTTCCTGTTACTAGGATGGGTTAAATTAAGAGGTCAACGTTCACTGTGTGTGTGGGTGTGTGCATGAACATGTGTGACCATTAAAGAGGGTTTCATTCTCCGATTCTCAAAAAAAGAACAAGGCAAGTTTATTTATATAGCACTTTTCAACACAAGGCAATTCAAAGTGCTTTACAAAATTAAAAGACTGGTTCTTACTCTCATAATGGTTCAGGTATTGTGTGATCATTTTGTTGATGAGGGGGAGTGATAATGTCTGTAATATGTTGATAATAATAATAAAATAATACATGACACTTATATAGCGCTTTTCTAAAAACTCAACGACGCTTTAACAGAGAATAAAACAACAAAAATGTTTGCACAAAATGAAAATCGATAGCATCAAGAAATTGTATGTCCTTTTAGTGTCCAAGGAGGGCATGAATGATTAACCCTGATGTACAACAGGTGCAGTTATGTAAGCATCTCCATGAAAACATAAAACACATTAAAACATTACAAAGCAAAGACATGAATAACACAGGTATGAATAAAAGTTACAGTGCAGTGTGAGATGTGAATAGTTCAATTAAAAGCAGCGGTAAAAAGAAAAGTTCAGGATGGATTTAAAAGTAGTCAGAGTTGCAGCGGACCTGCATGTAGTAGTTTGTTCCAGATATTTGAGAATATCCCGAACCAAATTCTCACATGGCTCTACCCCTAGTCTTCCTGTGAAATTATAGTTCTTTTGAAACCTTTTTATATTCCTTTCATCCATTTTGAACACATTTTCCATGTTACCCGAACCCATCTTTGACCTTTAAACCACTTTTCTTTTCAATATTCAGAAGTAGGATATCTAAACCTGACTTCTTCTGTTGTTTAGTGTGCCGATGGGAAGGTGGAGGCTCTGACCGAAGCTCTGCAGGCAACCGTGGCCAAGTGGAAGGGTCTTATCCCCATGCCCCTCCCCCTGGAGCTCTACACCTCCTCCACCTTCATCGGCCTCTTTGTGGAGGAGCAGATGGCCGAGGTGCTGAAGACTTTCGCCTTGGACTTTGCCACCGAAGCCACAGCTAAAGCAGGTTAGAGACCACCCATATCTCTGTGATGGAAACACTGTCTTTACAGGGGGTCTGCTCCTAAACATCAAATAAAAAGTAGAAGAAATGAAGCAGCTTACATGCAAAGTTTGGGAAGGAGCATTAACCTGAAAATGGTGTACAATAGGACAACAATGGGATAGGTAATGAATAAGTATTGTGTAAACCCTAACCCTATTATTTATTTTATAATCATTCTTTTTATTTTTATTCAATTCATTGTTTTATTATTCTTCCCTAATACTTCTCTATTTGTTTATTCCTACTTAAAATGCACTTCTTCTTTTACTGAGTGACAACATAAGAGCAGCGAACCTTAGGGAAGTGAGAGAAAGGGATATAGGTTCGTGTACATTTTTTATTTAAATATGTATCACCCGAAAAAGAAAGATACATGCAGACAGTTGTGAATTTACAGCATATACTGTAACCATATTTGAGCAGTTTCCCCAGACCATACATTTTCAGTGTATTGAATATAGTAGGCCATAGAATGGAAACAATACTTAATTGTCATGAGTATACATATACAAACTTCTGCTGTGCACATTTTCTCTTTGCTTTGTCCAGATGTTCACGTCGAGCCTCATAAGAAACAACTTCATGTCACGTTGGCGTATCACTTCCAAGCCAGTCACCTTCCGAATTTGGAGAAGTTGGCCAAAACGGTGGAGGTGTCTTCAGGCTGCGACTGGCTGGCCGTGCTCTACTCCCGGGACATTCGCTTTGCTAATCATGAGGTAGAGTTGTTTCCTTCGAAAATGACTACTTCCTCTTGAAATGTGTGTTTTGTGTGTGATATTTGGCTAAATAAATGTTGCTAAATCAAGAGGTGGGAAGTAGTGGACTACAAACACTTCGTTGCTGTTCTTAAGTACATGTTTCTAGTATCAGTACTTTACTCCACTGCTTATTTTTCTGACAACTTTTTACTTCTACTTCTTACATTTCTAACACAAATATCTGTACTTTCTACTTCTTACATGTTGAACACAAATACCTGAACTTTCTACTTCTTACATGTTGAACACAAATACCTGTAATTCCTACTTCTTACATTTTGAACACAAATACCTGTACTTTCTACTTCTTACATTTTGAACACAAATACCTGTACTTTCTACTTCTTACATGTTGAACACAAATACCTGAACTTTCTACTTCTTACATGTTGAACACAAATACCTGAACTTTCTACTTCTTACATGTTGAACACAAATACCTGTAATTCCTACTTCTTACATTTTGAACACAAATACCTGTACTTTCTACTTCTTACATGATGAACACAAATACCTGAACTTTCTACTTCTTACATGTTGAACACAAATACCTGTAATTCCTACTTCTTACATGATGAACACAAATACCTGAACTTTCTACTTCTTACATGTTGAACACAAATACCTGAACTTTCTACTTCTTACATGTTGAACACAAATACCTGAACTTTCTACTTCTTACATGTTGAACACAAATACCTGTACTTTCTACTTCTTACATGATGAACACAAATACCTGAACTTTCTACTTCTTACATGTTGAACACAAATACCTGTACTTTCTACTTCTTACATGATGAACACAAATACCTGTACTTTCTACTTCTTACATGTTGAACACAAATACCTGAACTTTCTACTTCTTACATGTTGAACACAAATACCTGTACTTTCTACTTCTTACATGTTGAACCCAAATACCTGAACTTTCTACTTCTTACATGTTGAACACAAATACCTGAACTTTCTACTTCTTACATGTTGAACACAAATACCTGAACTTTCTACTTCTTACATGTTGAACACAAATTCCTGTACTTTCTACTTCTTACATGTTGAACACAAATACCTGAACTTTCTACTTCTTACATGTTGAACACAAATACCTGTACTTTCTACTTCTTACATGTTGAACTCAAATACCTGTACTTTCTACTTCTTACATGATGAACACAAATACCTGAACTTTCTACTTCTTACATGTTGAACACAAATACCTGTACTTTCTACTTCTTACATGATGAACACAAATACCTGTACTTTCTACTTCTTACATGTTGAACACAAATACCTGAACTTTCTACTTCTTACATGTTGAACACAAATACCTGTACTTTCTACTTCTTACATGTTGAACCCAAATACCTGTACTTTCTACTTCTTACATGTTGAACCCAAATACCTGTACTTTCTACTTCTTACATGTTGAACACAAATACCTGTACTTTCTACTTCTCACATGTTGAACACAAATACCTGTACTTTCTACTTCTTACATGTTGAACACAAATACCTGTACTTTCTACTTCTTACATGTTGAACACAAATACCTGTACTTTCTACTTCTTACATGATGAACACAAATACCTGAACTTTCTACTTCTTACATGTTGAACCCAAATACCTGTACTTTCTACTTCTCACATGTTGAACCCAAATACCTGTACTTTCTACTTCTTACATGATGAACACAAATACCTGTACTTTCTACTTCTTACATGTTGAACACAAATACCTGTACTTTCTACTTCTTACATGTTGAACCCAAATACCTGTACTTTCTACTTCTTACATGATGAACACAAATACCTGTACTTTCTACTTCTTACATGATGAACACAAATACCTGTACTTTCTACTTCTTACATGTTGAACCCAAATACCTGTACTTTCTACTTCTTACATGTTGAACACAAATATCTGTACTTTCTACTTCTTACATGTTGAACCCAAATACCTGTACTTTCTACTTCTTACATGTTGAACCCAAATACCTGTACTTTCTACTTCTTACATGTTGAACTCAAATACCTGTACTTTCTACTTCTTACATGTTGAACACAAATACCTGTACTTTCTACTTCTTACATGTTGAACTCAAATACCTGTACTTTCTACTTCTTACATGTTGAACTCAAATACCTGAACTTTCTACTTCTTACATGTTGAACCCAAATACCTGTACTTTCTACTTCTTACATGTTGAACCTAAATACCTGTACTTTCTACTTCTTACATGTTGAACCCAAATACCTGTACTTTCTACTTACATGTTGAACACAAATACCTGTACTTTCTACTTCTTACATGTTGAACACAAATACCTGTACTTTCTACTTCTTACATGTTGAACTCAAATACCTGTACTTTCTACTTCTTACATGTTGAACTCAAATACCTGTACTTTCTACTTCTTACATGTTGAACTCAAATACCTGTACTTTCTACTTCTTACATGTTGAACTCAAATACCTGTACTTTCTACTTCTTACATGTTGAACTCAAATACCTGTACTTTCTACTTCTCACATGTTGAACTCAAATACCTGTACTTTCTACTTCTTACATGTTGAACTCAAATACCTGTACTTTCTACTTCTCTCATTTTCCAAACAGCTGGTTCCTTTAGTCTGAATGTGTGTTTGATGCGTGATCATTATTCTTTAGAGTCATTGCGTGCCTATTGATTTGAACACGATCCGTGTATCCATCATTTCCTGGTCTTCTCTAAAGAAGAGGGACCAATGAAAACGTTGTCATGTTGCCGTTGTTCAGCATGGAAACATTCATTAGCTAACAATGACATTATTGTTCTATTAATATAAAGGGAGGTCAGGTACTCTTTAAAACAGCTGCTAGTTATGGGTACTTTTTACTTAAGTACAATTCAAAGCCCTCTTTACTTTTACTTGAGGAAAGAAGTTTAGTCAGTACTTCTACTTTTACCAGAGTATTTTTAAACACCAGTATCTGTACTTCTACTCGAGTAAAGGATGTATGTACTTTTGCCTGGCTAAATCCCTGAAATGGCTTCTCTCTAATGGCCCTTTTCACCCCCTGTAGACGCTGCAAGTCATGTACCCGTACGTGCCTCAGAATGATGACGAGCTGGAGCTGGCGCAGGGAGACTTCATCTTCATGTCCCCTGTGGAGCAGAGCAGTGCCAGTGAGGGCTGGGTGTTCGGCACCTCGCTGGGCACGGGGCTGTCCGGCCTGCTGCCTGAGAACTACGTCAACCGCGCTGATGAGTCTGACACCTGGGTCGTCCACGGGTAAGAAAAGGAAGCGGGGTAAATCCATCGCCATGTGTTTCTTGCATTTGCAAAATTCCTCGGAGGAGCTGGGAGGCCCTGGGATGAGGGTTAGACTGATAAAGCGCTAATACAGTAGAAAAACAGACGTAGCATATTATCACTGATTGCCCCTCAAAACCACAAAGACATCAGTGGGTGTTACTGCGACTTAAAATAAGTGCATTCGACCAAGAAGATACAAACTTGAAGAAAACAGAATCATATAAGTACATCAGGTTTCATAGAGCCAACACATTCTAAGTGCTACTCAACAGGCTGTAGATGAGCCAGTCCTTTGTTAGTATATAAGTGCTTTTTATTTTGTTTTGTTTTGTTTTTTGTTTTCTGTTTTTCATTTTATTGCTCGAAGTGGAGTCGAAAGAGATGAGTTTTCAGTCTGCGCCGGAAGATGTGTAAGCTTTCTGCTGTCCTGATGTCAATGGGGAGCTCATTCCACCATCTTGGAGCCAGGATAGCAAACCGACGTGTTTTTGCTGATGGGAACTTGGGTCCCCCTCGCAGCGAGGGTGCAGCGAGCCGTTTGGTTGATGCAGAGTGGAGTGCACGCGCTGGGGTGTACGGTTTAACCATGTCCTGGATGTACGAAGGGCCAGATCCATTCACAGCATGGTACGCAAGTACCAGTGTCTTGAAGTGGATTCTAGCAGTTACTGGAAGCCAGTGAAGGGAGCGGAGGAGCGGAGTGGTGTGGGAGGATTTAGGAAGGTTGAAGACCAGACGAGCCGCTGCATTCTGGATGAGCTGCAGAGGTCGGATGGCACATGCAGGTAGACCAGCCAGGAGGGAGTTGCAGTAGTCTAGGCGTGAGATGACGAGAGCGTGGACCAGAACCTGCGTCACTTTCTGGGTCAGGAGGGGGCGTATCCTCCTCAAACTGACAATCCACAGATCCCTTTAATGTGTGTTCTCTACAGTTTAAGCACAGATGCACACCGTTTCCACTAAGCTGAATGCAAAGATAAAAGGGAAAATTAGTCATCTTCCTCTTTTCTAAAACTGTCTTTGAACAGGTTGTGTTTCCTCCCTTGCTCTACCCATTTATTCTTCACTATATTGATATTTTCAAGACACGTAAACACACTTTACTCTCTTAATTTGTTCTGTGCCCTGCTTATTCCTGTCTTTCCTTACTCTCATAAGATTGAACCAGTGTGTTGGTTGTCTGCTAATGTTCCTTCTCTTCACTGTGGATAATGAGTGCTATTTTTAAACGGCTATTTGAATATAATGGAGTCCTCTGTCTGATCCTCAGGTCTCACTCCGTGCTCACCAGTGCCTCTCCGTCTATCTCCGGCAGCAGCGTGGCGGGGTCATTGTTTGACGGACAGCTGAACGACAGTCTGTTTGACACTCTCATGGATCCTCCCGGCCTTACTGGCCTCTGTCCTCCTATGCAGGTATTCAGCACTCCTGTATTTTGTGAATAATACTCCCTATGGCTTACAGGCTGCATGCTAAATGACCATTACATTCTCTCTGAAGTGTTTGCACCGGTACAAGAGGCAACCTTTGGTAGAGCGTAATGTAACCAACCCACAACAGTGTCATTTTAGACAGTAAAAAAGGGAGATGTATAGTAACAGTACAGTTTAACTAACAAAATATGCTGTATTCATTCAACGTAATTGTAGAAAAATAAGCAAGTAGCTGAAGAAATGTCAGGCAAGTATTCTGAAGTATTAAATAATAGTATATTATTAACTGAAACATGACATAGCTTAGTATGTACCTTTTATAAACTTAATGTCCTTGTTTTTCCTCACACATAACACATGCTTGCATCTGTATTATATATTACCATATCATGACCCAACTATCATTGCATTCAGTAACTGCATCCTAAAATGAATTAGTTCAAGCAGACATCCATTATAAATGTTCCCAACTCTCAGAAATGCGAATAATTTGACTGTAACTGCCTGTGGCTAGTGCTGATCATTTGCATACTAAGAGACCCATTTTTCTGCAAATGCATATTACCTAATTTACATATGTGCAAATAGCAAAGGAGCACCAAGATACTTTTTGCCCAGCAGTGAAGTTAGGGATGCATTAAAGCAAATTATTATTTTGTGTTTTTACACAGGTTTAGCAGCCCCAAAAGCAGCACAGTCCTTTTGTCAATTCCTCTTTGAGAGTGTTAAAAACGAATTATAACTGTATGCTTGTAGCATGAAATAAAAAAGGCCATATTATGCTTTTGGGGGTTTTCCCTTTCTTGTTTGCCTGATTCACCTCCGTTGGACTCCTTTGTTTACTTCCGTAACATAATTACATCACTATGTAACTCTTGTGCTTCTATTGGCTTTATTTATATTATATTTAAATTGAATCTTTTTCTCAGGTGTTGAGGCCAACCTGTCAGTCTTCCCTGTCCAAGATGAGACTGTTTGTGTGTCGCCATGGCGAGAGGATGGACGTGGTGTTTGGGAAAAACTGGGTCTCTCAGTGCTTTGACGCCAAAGGTAAGCATGCAGGGGGATGTTGATTACACATTTTTGAGTTGAGTATTTGCTTCTTCTGTAAGATCCTCATTTGTGTTTGTGTAGGCCGATACATTCGCTCCAACCTCAACATGCCGTCCAGCCTGCCAGCCAGAAGTGGAAGTCACCGGGACTACGATAAAGATTGTCCAATTACTGTGTTCGGCTCCACCCAGGCCCGACTTGTAGGTCAGTACATATGAAGTAAAGTACATTTGATCTTGTTGAAAAGTTACTATAGTTTGAAGGGTTGTTGAATACAGCAAAGGGTACAATTGAAATGTATTTTTGGTCTATTTCAGGTGAAGCTCTGTTGGAAAGCCACACAGGAATAGACTTTGTTTACTGCTCGCCTTCTCTTCGCTGCGTCCAGACTGCTCAGAACATTCTGCAGGGTAAGACCTCGTCAATATTCTCACTGCAACATCTATTCAGTTTCTTAACTGCCATGATGTTATACTCACATGTCAGAGCTGATTTCAGAGCTACTGCTGCACGACAATGTTGGACTATTAGTGTTAGTTTTGGATCTGAATCTTTAAGATTTGCGCACATCCAATTCTTCTATTAACATTTAATAAATTATTTGGAAAAAAAACAGATTTTTGGGGCTTTACGGAAGGTATTTATTTCCCATTACTTACTTCCTTTGACCACAGCAAAACACTTACTTAATGTTTTCTTTTTTATCTATACTGTATTTCTTCATGTTAACAAACATAGGACCAAAACTATTACTTTTTGCACAAAGTCTTACATTTTATGTGAAAAAGTATTCGTATATTTCCCATAAAACTGAGGTGAGTGACATTCCTTAATAGATGTAGAGATATTTCAATGTTCTCTCTATGTTTCACTGTATGTTAGGTCTCCAGCAGGAGGCAAAGACAAAAATCCGTGTGGAGCCTGGGTTGTTTGAATGGACCAAGTGGGTTTCAGGCACAAGTTTACCCGTGTGGATCCCCCCAGCTGAGCTGGCTGATGCTAACCTGAATGTGGACACAACGTACAGGTACACCAACCCTATAGCATCACGACACCTTCATCTGTGATTCTACAATTGAATTCTAACCTCCTATATATATATATTGTTTTGTCCCCAGACCTCATATTCCCGTAAGCAAGTTGACAGTATCAGAAAGCTACGACACCTACATCAGCAGGAGCTTCCAAGTAACCCGTGAGATCCTGACAGACAGCAAAAACCTGGGTAATGGAGTAAAAATTCTTGGCAGAATTCACTACAATGCCAGCTCTTTCATTGAGATGATTACCCTTAAATGCTTCCCATTCTTTCTGTGCGTAATGCAATCTCTGGAGGCCACTTTACACTGAGCATGAGCTAATGAAATCAAAACTAAACAATGGGCTCCTGCCTTGATGGCCTTAAACAAAGAAAAATGCACCTGACACTTAACACTCTATCAGAAGGCCTTGAAACGGAATAGTGTCACACAATAGGCACTTTGTTTTGACTCTGCTGGCCTTCTCAATCAAGATGTTTGATTTGGATGGGGGCCAAATCTCAAAATAAAAGGCAATGCATTCAAGAGCCTGAACATTTTTAAAGCTGTATATCATCATCTGCTGAGTGCCCATAAACAAACAGCATAGAAGCTTATGGTATCTGTGGAATGCTTTTCTTTACCTCTTTCACACAGGAAACACGGTCCTGATTGTGGCCCATGCTTCCTCCCTGGAGGCCTGCACTCGTCAGATACAGGGCCTCAGCCCGCAGAACTCCAAGGACTTTATCCAAGTTGTCCGAAAGGTCAGTCCGCGCTTAACTTAAAACAAGGGCTGAACTCCATGTTATTTAAAAAAAAAAACTATTATAAATTGAAGCAGAAAAAATTGCTAGGTAATAACTTGTTGTGAATTTTTGAATATTACGTCACAACATTCTGGGGGTAAAGGGGCCCTATTATGCTTTTTGGAGTTTTCCCTTCCTTGTGATGTGTTATAGGTTTGTGTGCATGTAAATGGTCTGCTAAGGCTAAAATCCCCAAATTCCCTACAGAGGGAGTTTCTCTACCACACTCCTGAAACACCTTGATTGGACTTCTATGTTTACTGACAGAACATAATGACATCACTCAGTAACACTCGCGCTTCTATTGGAAAGCGCTCCAACATATTGTACGTGATAAGGGCGGGAGTTCTCTAAGCGGAGCTGGCCAGCTAACCAATAAGAGCAGACTGGGCTCTGGTGTCAGGCAGAGGGTGAAAAGAGTTGCTGCAGCACAGGCTGTATGAGAAAAATAAAGAGCTTTTTGAGCATTAAAGCTTGTAAACATGTCACAGTAGAGACACTACATACTAATATGAACCTGCAAATTAGCACAATAGGGCCTATTTAACGTTTATATTGAAGAAGATTCAAACCATTTGGTACAGCCCTAGTTACAACACCTTGTTCATTTGTATCCCCTTCTCATCTTTTTGTCTGTGATAACACACACATCTGTCTTCTCTCTTTGCAGATTCCTTACTTGGGTTTTTGTGCTTGTGAAGAATTGGGAGAGACCGGGGTGTGGCAGCTGGTCGACCCGCCCATCTTGCCTCTGACACATGGACCCAATCACAGCTTCAACTGGAGGGAAATGCTAATGCAAGACTGAAGGATTTGCTCTTTGGCTCTCTTATCTTTTGGTGACCCTGAACTGCTGAAAGAAATATTTATATTTAACCCACTCTGCTCTAAATCCAGCCCAACTACCAAAAAAAAAGGAAAGAAGAAAAACCACGTCTGGCTTCCTTCAAAGACATCATGCAAAAAAATAAATGCATTTATTGAAGCAAATGTATTCAGACACACAGCTCAGGAATGAGAAAAAAATATGAGCCACAGATAGAATTGCAGTTTGGTGTTTTGAGAAGACTTGCTGATGAATCAGGTTTATTGCCATGAAGTGACGTTAAGTCTGTGACTCCTCTTCAGGCAGGGCGGTGAAGACTTCACACACTGTGACAAGAAGTAGACGAGAAAGACTACCACCACAGAAATATTTTTCCATGTGTCAGAAACTATTATTTAACTTGTAGCTAAGACCCTCCCGCAAAAAAAAAAAAAAAGCACAAAAGAAATGTTGACAATCAGACAGGGGAAAACTGATCTTCATTGTTTCTGGTGCCGAGATGGGTGGTTTATGATTCCTGTAAATGTCATATCATTAAGTGATTTTCTCTAAGTTAACATTTAATTGCCAACATGAATCGTTTTACTTTCCTGCAATGCAGTTTTATTACCACCACAGGAGCAACCAAGGCTTAAGAAAATGTATATAATTTAATACAGACCGCTTTTGGGTGCATTGACTAAAAATATTTGCTTGTTAATCACAGCAGCACTGTTGAATTTCATGTTTTTTGTTATGTCAGATGATTTAAATGCTTACTGCCTATACCAACTGTTTGTTATTTGAGACCAAGCATCTATTGATACTCTCAAAAATGAATAAAGCAAGGATGTGAATATATGAAGGCCTATACATATAAGCCTGTGCCATGTGTTCTGTAAAAAAAAAAATCACTTCTTTACATAAGATATTAGTGAGAATTAAGTAGCTCATAATTTTTGGTACTGTTTTACACAAATAGCTTTGCAGTTGTTTATTAAATAAAGATATGCAGGCATTGCAATGAACAAAGAGCTAAATAATTTAACGACAATCTTGTGTTAATGTGCTGTTTATGCCGGACTTAACATTGACAATATGATTTTACTTTACAGAGCACCAGGTTGCACTAATTGTCACATTCAGAGCAGTATTGTTGCATATTAAGAGAACATAGCAGACCAAATCAAAGCAGACCTTTTGACTTGTTGTAGTAAGAAAAGAAAAGTACAGGAGTATTTAAAAAATGTCTGAAGCCTCTGTACTTTTCAGTGTTCGAAAGAGACATCATGCACAATACCAGTCCCTCCATTGAGTGCATCATTAATCATCATTAATCTTAAATGCTGTGCTTTTGCTGCAATAATGGCAAAATATCCTATTGGACTTTTAGTTATAGAGTGAGTAGTTACATTCAATAATTCTGATTTATAAGGTAATATTGTTAATGATGCATTCAGAATACTGGCTTTAGGTGTTTTTGCAAGATTTGGCCTTCTTTGTCAGGCTTCTCTGTCTGGATATCTCTAACAGGAAAGACTCTCCTCAAGGAAGAAGCACGTTTGGACCCTGAGGTGGATTCATTGCTACCTTAAACAGCTTTAAGTTAGTCTAGGGATGTAGAGAATGGCTATGAAAACTGCACAACGCGTATACTTGTGCGATAAATTAACATACAAGTTATGCTGCTTTAGTGAGACTTATTTTGGCTAACTAGTTAGCCAACAGTCACAAGCTAAACGTTATCCTCCTTGCCCGTCTCTTGCTAACTCAGGTAATGGCTTTTTTTAGTTCGTGTGTCGGCTGAAACGTTAATTGTATTGTTAAAACCCTAACCTCAAGTGAGTTACCATTTCAATGTATTAACTATAGAGGTATGAGAAGCACCTGTAACATGTGTAGCTAAGTGTTAGCATATAACAGTTTGACATGACTAGCTAACGTCACAGGTGATGGGAGAAGCTGATTTAGCCACACCAAGCTGTTGTGTGGTATAGTAAAATATGATAATCAAAACAACAAGCAGATATTACATTAAAGGTTTACACAATATATAATTGTAATAACACTTTAGAAACACTGCCTTTTAACTATGCTCTTGATACTTTTACTTAACTAGTAAGTTATGTGGCTATATTTGAACACTTACATTGACCTAAATCTTGCTGCTTAAGTTTTTAGAGGATATGCAATTCATAATTAGCCTAAAATACAACAAGGATTTGACAAACAAAAGGCAAAAGTGTTAAATGTATCACAGCAAATTCTCTCTTTTCAGGGCTTTCATGTTAGACTTGTTGACAAATAAGAAGAAAAATATGTAATACTATATAAAGTATAACAGTATTATAATGTATTCAGAATTGAATATGAAGGAAACTTTTGTGTACTAAAATGTTGACAAAAGTATATATCCTACAAAATCTGCTCACTAATGCATATTCACAGACTAAGTGTGAAACAAAACAAACACTAGGTGGTGCTGTAATAGTTCCTGCAGAGACCTTCACACTGTATACAGCTAAACTCTTCCATGGGCTTATGTGCACCAAAATTGGTGTTTTTCTCAGATAGAAACATTTAAAAAAGGTTAAATATTTTTCATAGAATAAAAAGGTTAATGTGGTATTGTGTATAGTTTTGACCCCGTGATTTGGACTTTTTCATCAAATATGATACACAGAGTGATGAGAAAACTCTAAGCTCAGAGTTTGCGTGTGTCCGCATCTGCATTGACTTTACATGTAATCAGGCCGCCCCCAAACATCGCATCGCGTCCGGTGTGAACGCAGCATTAGTGTACTTTTTGTTTACTTTGTTTGGTTTTAAACAAGACCACATGGTAGATATGGTATATTTCGAAACATGAAACACTCAGAAAATGATTACAGTAATATATTTGTTTAATTCTAATGATAAACTCTTAGCTAGTGTGTATGTCTATTAAATCAGTCCTTAGACAACTTTCTAGCAGAGCCAAGTGACTGATGGCCATCGGTAGTTATCGGTTAGGTTGATTTACCATTCCTCCATGAATCTCCCTGCAGGGGGCAAAGGGCAGTGGCAGCTAGGACAGACATCTCTGCAGGCAGCGGGTAGGTGTTCACTGATGCATTCACTCTTCAACATATCTTGCACTTTGACTGAGAGTGGGTCTTTTTTTTTCAGAAAACATGACAGTGATAACATTTAAAAAATAGTAGTTCTGCTGCAAATTTGAATATCATTTTAATTTTGGTTTCAATATTCCTACAATAGTCTATACATAAACAAACATATTTGTAATGTATATATTTATATATATTCAAACTTTAACATTGTTCCTCTTCAAAAACGTATTTACTGATGTGTTTTCTATCATATCTTATCTCTTGCATTTAATACACACAGACAAAATATACAATTACAGATCAATATTTTCAAGATATGCAGTCACTCTTCCACCCCTGAAATAAAATGGCAAAGGTTCATGAAAGAAATGGGACCTGTTCTTCATTTTGAGTGTGAAAAAGGTACGTTTCCGTCTGTCTCCATGGACTGTATTTCGGTGAGTGTTTCAGCAATATTATGTCTGACAGTGATTTGAAGTTGATGTCAGAGATATCCAAAAGCTGATTGTAAAGCGTGTGTCACTGCTTCTGCCTTCTGACAACCTTATCCCCCATTGGCTTGTTACTTTGTGAGTTATACATGTTCAGTTGCATAGGGAGCAACTGTAATATTTTACAGCTGTCATCTGGCATAAGACTCAGGTTAAAGGTGGGGTATGTCATTTATTTCAGAAACACTTTTTGTTATATTCCATGGAATGCTCTTAACATCCCGATAGCAATGAATATATTAAATGCTTTGACAATAAATACATACAAAAATGTCATCTGTGGAAGCCGTGGCGATGTAAAAAGCACGACCAATCATTTGAGCCGGCCAGGCTAAAATAACTGGATGGCCTTCCTGCCTGTCAGCCTTCCATCTGTGCACAAACTTATCTCGTGCCCTCATTGTAAGGAAGTCTGAAGGAAGCTGGTTCGAGCTGGTTTCTCCAAAATGACATACCCCACCTTTAAGAGAAAGTGATGTATCCTAAACCTGACAGATGTTCCTAACGGGCAGTGCAAAAGTGGCTTAAACCTGCCTTCTGTCAAATGGCCAGCAGGGGGCGACTCCACTGGTGGAAAAGAGAAGTCTGATTCTATAGAAGTCTATGAGACAGTGGTTCTACTTCTCACTTCTCACTTGTGTTTATAGTTTCTAAAACTAGTTTCCATTCTGCTTTAATACAGCATGTTTCTATTTTGATTTGTAGGCTAAAATAGAATACATATAAAACAGAGTAAGCTTTAAGGCGGGGTTACCTTGAGATTGACAGGTTTCTACAACAGTGTTGTCTGGTTTGGGTGAAGTCATTCCTGTTTTCTTCACACTATGCTGTAGACACAACTCAGACATATTACACCTTATACTGTTAATATGGCGATTGTAATCACAAATAGTTGCCCCTTCAGTCCAAAATGCACTGGCTGTTTTTTTACTGTACGTACAGCACTTTTGTTTAGCCCTGTTATCCCGAACGCTACCTTCTGCTGTGGCACGAAACAGTGTTGATGAGAGCAGTGACAGTCATTCAGTAGAGTTGTAGAAAATAAAAGGAAAACATTCATATGAAATAGGAAAACCCTTCTGAGAACTGAACTTTTTTGATCAGCAACATTTGCATGACAGATAGTGTGATGATATAGTAAAAATATATATTTGAGATGGTGCGACTGTTACATAAACAGCAAGCTGTTCAGTCACACTTTTCATGCTTCTGGACTGTCAACACCTGTCCCATACTCAAGCAAAACATTGCGAGAAATCTTTCGGTTGACACGATAAGTTTAGACAATGTAAAATTAGAAGAAGGCTGTGATTAGTCCGTATAGAATTTTGTTTGTTGTGATTACATCTTTTGGCCTTTGAACAACAGAGCTAGTCATCCTGACCTCTAATAGGGTTTGACACAGCTGTCACGAGTTAGTGAGGCCACTGCATGTTCTCAGCTGGCTGGAGAATGAGAATATACTGTAGCAGATACAGATGTCAGCTACACAGACAAAGATGCCGTCTATAGGTTGCTTTAATTAGCAAAGTCTCTACCGAATTAACTATAAAGGGCTCTTTTTTGACGCTGGTTTTCTGGTTGTGATTTAAATATTTCACTCTAGAAAAGGTACCAAATGGATGACTAACTTTTCTGAAAAGTGAAGCATACCAAGTTCCCATCAGCCAAAACATGTGGGTTTGCTATCCTGGCTCCAAGATGGTGGAATGAGCTCCCCATTGACATCAGGAGAGCAGAAAGCTTACACACCTTCCGGCGCAGACTGAAAACTCATCTCTTTCGACTCCACTTCGAGCGATACAATTACTAACAAAGCACTTATATACTAATAAAGGACTGGCTTATCTAAAGCCAGTTGAGTAGCACTTGAAATGTTTGGCTCTATGAAACCTGATGTACTTACAGTATATGATTCTGTTTTCTTCAAGGTTGTATCTTCTTGGTCAAATGCACTTATTGTAAGTCGCTTAGGATAAAAGCGTCAGCTAAATGTAATGTAATGTAATATCAGTTCTGCTTTTAACCCCCTTTAAGCACTGTTGGACTTTCAACAAATATTAGGCAAGTGAGCAGCAGCAATTTGAGGCCAGCTTTAGCCCAAGGGAGGCATGTAGTAATGTTCCCAAAAGCCTCAGCGGGCCCCTCCCCCCTTGCCTCTTTTTATAAATATGAAATTTCAACACCATTGGCATTGTTGCTTGCTCTGCTGGGTTTGCACGTTGCTAACCATTAATGCACAGATACCGTGTTCCCACTACGGGTCAGTAATGCAGTCATTATTCGGGCGCTTTATGTGAATAAGATGCTGCCGTGACCTTTTTTGCACAGAAATACATTTTGTATTTCAATGCATCTCTGTGATGATTTTGAAACCAGCATAACATGTTTGCTTATAAACAAGATTTTTCAATGAACTTATCGTAA